CAAAGAAAGGGGCTTTGTGGCAGCAGAGAACCCCAGCTTTGGGACTGATTTACTGTGTGCGGAATAGTACCGCTCAGTGAGATTGCTTCAAGCGGGTGGTGGGGGGGCAGGTGGCGTTGGGGAATAAGGTCTCTAATAAGGATCTGTTAACCAGGATGTACCCACCAAGCAGTCACACCGCATATTATGGGGGCAGCTAGATGCAGGCATTGGGGCTCCCAAAGCAGGGCCTGGGGCTGGGTGTGGGGTTACCAGCACTCCAGTGCTACTGGAAGTGATGGGTTTGTATGGGACACATAGGATCAGGGTGTACATAACAAAGGCAGGGGACCAGAGATCTGTGACCTTGAGGCGTAGGTCAGATGGGGAGCCCCCGGGAAAGGTGGAGGTGGTGTTTCTGTGGTTCACTCACATTCTCTCTGCAAGGAGAGCCTCCAGGGGTTTGAAGCTCTGACTCAGGCATCACGGGAAGCTGGGGGCCGCCTGCCCCTTCCATAAGGGAACTGCCATCTATAGGACGGTGGTCTGGAGCTCCTATACCGCTGCCCTGACCCGGGGGGGTGGGCGTGTTCTCAATGCTCCCCAACCCCTGCTCTGAACAAAGCCCGTACCTGCCCAGGGCACAGTCGCACACACCGAGAGCCATAGCCCAAGTTTCCTAGCCATGCGTCAGGACGGCAAGGGCAGCGTAAACCCTGTGTCCCTTTGAGACAGGGACCATAGATGTAGTCAGAATAGAGTGAAGGCCTCCGGAGGGGGCAGGGCGGGATATTTGCAGTCAGAGCAATGTAACTACATGCAAGGAACCCCCCCTGCTAAAACTCTATGTTAAACATTGAGCTCTAAAATCATTCTTCAGTGAGGTCAGTTAATGTTCCCCAGATAAAGAGGAGTAGCACATGTTTTATTATGCTGATCATTTGTAATCATGTGTAAGATTCACTTGAGCATGCTAAAAGGCCCAGGCCTCTGTGCTGTCTTTTGTCCTTCAGATCTGACGAGGTGATTCTGCAAACTGGGCAACTAACTTAGCTGCAGACCCAGCTGTAGACGGCAGGGTAAAGGGCAGGAAGAATTCCATCTTAAAGATAAGACTGCATTTTAACACCCAGCAAGTTCCAGAGGCAGGATTCTTTAGCAAATAGACAACACCTCGGCCCACCTTGGGGGCTGGGCAGGAAGCCTTTTGATGCTCCCAGACCAAGGTGCTAGTGTCCCAGAGAGAAATCAAGGCAGGAAATTCCTTACAGTTAAGTTAATGTTTAATATTCAGGACCCACTTGACAAGTCCCCACCCCTAAGTTTTTTCATGTTCTCGAAAAATCCTCAGCTGCCTATAAAACCCCCTAGACGATGCACCACTACGGACTCTCTTGTCCCCTCCTGGCGTGAGCCGGGAGCTCTGTCCTCTCACTTTATCCCTAAATAAAAGCCTGTCCCTTGCTCTCCTACCTTGACTGTTTGTGAAGCTCATTCTTGGCTCCGCAAACAAGAACCCCGGCATCACCTTTAAAGTGCTGGCTTTTCCCAGGCCCAAATTTGCAATGGGGATGCTTTCGATACTTCAACAGCCCTGATGGGATTTTTACACTGAACAGCCGTTCAGTGGTGACAGGTTAAAATGCAAATGGTATCAGATTTTTGTTGTTTATTTATGTATCTTGTTCTCGCTGAAAATCCCAATAACTCAGTATGGAAACACAGACAAATTAACTAGCCGCCGTAGTGGATACAAGGATTCCTTACCTCTAAAATGGGGTTCAGGGATGACTATTTGGTAAACTAGTTGTATCAGGTTGACACAATCATTCAGAATGTGTGACAGCAGAAGGAAATGTATTTTTTAAATGCAGACTCTAACAGGGATCTAATATCCATACGGTTAAGAGGACGATCACCTGTTGAATTCTGTAGCGGGATGACTGAGTCGTGGGCATTCTATCAAATCAGCCCACAGATCTCATGACCCGAAACAGATTTCACTGAGGAATTCGGTGGGATCCCTGAGCTCAGAGAGTAAAGATCTTTTTGATGGGTTCCCATGGGGAGGAGAAGTCACTATTGTCAATCAGAAAAGGATGCCTTCTGGTCAGGGAGTGTAAACGGCCTGATCCCTCTTGTTTGCATAAACCACGAGAGTGCGTCTGAGTCTGCAGCTTTAGGAAATGAGATGTGTGGACATACAGAAGTCTGTGGTCATTCCCCACAGCCAGAGGGAAACCATGTCTTTCCTCCAGGGCCTTTGATCATAACAGTGTTTCACTGCAAACTTGACTTCAACTACATTTGACAAAGGGGGAATATGCTGCAGTATAGTAGCGGCTGCGATACTAACAGTGTCCTACACTCCTGGCATGTCTAGCCCTCCAGGGAGAACAGCAACGCATTTCTAACATATCCAATTCATTCCTTCAAAAGAAACCAGGGAGACGCTACTGACGTGCTGTTCAGAGTGTATGATAACTCTGGTTTGCAGCCATCATACGGAACCCTTGACATTCTCCGCGACCCATATCGCTTCTATCTCCAGAATCAACTGTGAAAGCCAAATGCAAATATTGCTTCCTCGGGTTCATCCACCTGCAGTTGTCTGGCCATCCCTCCATGAACGGAAGCTCCACAGCTTTGTACATGTAACTTTCTTAGGAACCTATCGCTTTCTACCCACTTCTGTTACTATGATTTCTGTACACGTCAGATCCACGGCAGCTAAGCTACTTGAGAATCTAACAGGCCTTCAACCCAGAATGAGCGAATAGGGGAACCTGTGCGTGAAAGGCGCTCTGTAACTCCATCTTTAGAGACACCAGAATCTATAAAATAAAATAAAAACAACTCTCTCCACACAGGTGATGACCCCATGGAAATACGACGGAAACTTCAGCTTACTATACAGGAATACAGGTTTTTATTTCTCACTGCTCTAAAATAAGACTGGAAACAGGAGGGCTGGCTGAGACAGTGCCAGTCTCCTAGGGTGAACCCTGCTCTCATTAAACACATTGGTTCCTTTACCGAACGCACATGAAATATCCATCACGTGCTGGTGAGGTAACAGTGGGGTGCTAAGGAGGGGCACGGACATCCTATAAAGTCTGCAGACCAGTGCTGAACAGGAATCCTTTCATCCCAGGGCCCAGGGGACTCAAGGTGCTGAGAATGTAAAAGGATCTGAGACATGCACACGAAGGTGTGAGCAGACATATAAGGTTGTGCAGGTGACAGCACCACTGCGATGATAACACACTGCCCTTTCTCCGTCCCTGCCTCCGGCGCCCTGTGCTCTGGCATTACCCAACTCTGCGGTTTGCAGAAGCAGTCATTGGCCTCTTCTTATTCCCAGCACTATCAGGCAGGGGCGGTTGTGGACTGGCATACAGAGCTACAAGGAGAACAGGGTGACCACCTCCTTTCCAGCCCTGCCTCCTCTGGAAATGGGTCTTGGGACCCTTGGCCAAGCGAGGCTTCCCCTGCTGTAGGCACTGCTAGCATCTCAGGTGGACAAAAGTATAAATGCCCTTATTAAGGCATAAGGATCTCCCCATGCTTCCCACCACCACCCACTCAGGCACCCATCCACCCACCCAACCACCGGTTCATCACGACTTCCTTCCAGGCATGCACCACATTTTATATTTATTTTTGCCTCTGGCCCAGTGCCAGATACATGGTCCAGTCATTATTTCTAAACCAATGAATGGATGAAAGCATTCCTTATATTATCCTTTCTTATCTTTGGAGGTAAAGTCGGATTTCCTGAATCCCTGGAAATCTGTGAAACATCCTCGGGAAAGGATAACGCAAAGCCAGAAGGCCCTTTATCACACGCGTGTGTGTCTTTTGACTTTTCTGGCCTTATTGAGGCAGCCGCCCAGCCCCATCAGGGCCACCATGCTTCACCTGTTTGCATGGCCACTTTTGCTCACCTCTCCACGCCACATTCATCCCACACCCACTGCAGATTCCAGTGGGTGTCTTAACCCTTAGCCTGATGCACCCTTTTAGGCATCTCACCTTAGTCTTTGTGAAATGGGTCACATTTTATAATAATTAGATGTGTCTGTCTTGTGTTCACAGAGTGTGCCGTACCAGCAACGTGGTCTGTGGCTGGGTTTTACCAAACACGTATTATCTAACGTCCCAGTGACCCGCCTGATACATCCGACGGGCGGCTGAGCTGAGACTGTGTCAGGAATGCACATCAGCCCGAAAGCTCCCATAGACCGAGGCAGGCAGAGCAATGGCCTCACAAAGATGTCTACATCCCCTCATCCCAGAGCCTGAGCATAGGCCGCCAGGCCGGAAGGGAATGTGCAAATGCCCCCCAAGAGTCTGGGTTTTACCTGGGCGGGTCCATAAAATTGAAGGCTCCTTAAGAGAGGGAGGCAAGGGTGAGGGCAAACAAAGCAGATGATGTCACCGAGGCAGAGGCAGAGACAGGAGGGAGGTCTGGGCACACCGCGCTGCCAGCTTCAGAGATGGATGCGGAGGTCATGAGCCCAGGCACACAGGTGGCCTCCACAGTCCAGGGAAGGCGAGGAAAAGATTGTCCCCTATGGTCTGCAGAGGGACACAGTCCTTCCGCCACCTTGATTTCAGACCAGGGAGACCATCTCGGACGTCTGACCTCTAGAATCGCAAGTTACTACGCTGCGTTGTTATAAGCCAGGAAGTATGTGTTATTCTGTTCCAGTCGCGATGCTAATCTAATGCATGGGGGTAGAGGGCTACTTGTTTAAATCAGCTACACAATACAGGGCTGGCTGTCATCTGGACAAAAACACCCTCATTCTAATGTCTGCACGGGTGTCCTTTTAATGCCTCTAGGGACCCTAAAAGGAATGGCCACATTGGCCCATGACACAGCGAAGCCCTGTGTCTGGAAGCGTGGTAGACGCACAGCAATGAAGCTCTGAGATTAAGGACGAGGTGGCGGACGGGGAAGGAGAGAGGCCAGAGCTTATGAGTCTCACCCGTCCCCACCTTCACAGATGCCTCACCTTTATAGATCCCGTTACTTCCTCCGTGAACTTCCCCTTTGCTGTTCAGCTCTTCCACATGTGCTCCGTGGTCCGATGTGAAGTAGACGAGTGTATTATTAGTCAGTCTCAACTCATCCAGAACGTTCAAAATCTGTCCTGAAGTGGGAGAAAATGCTCAGTTTTAAAACAGTTCAATCTTTACTTAAGAAAGGGGGATTATTTGCCTTCATCGACTTGTCCATTAATTTCCAAAAGTGCAAAGAAATGCTCTTGGGCACCTGAGCGTTCCCATACCAGTCCCAAAGGGGGCTGCACCCTAATCAGGATGGCCGACTGTGGCAGGGTTCTTTGCAAAGACAACAAGAAGACTCAGTCATTGGGTTAAGGGTCATCCATTAGCATTGTTTGAAACTCCAGACATCATGGAGTGATTCTGTAGGGAGACCCGAGAAAGGATTCTGCAAGAATTGGGCCCACAGATCTCGAGCCCCTTCGAGGAAGATGCCAGAAGACACAGGTCAAACTGTTGCAACAACATCTGGATATAAAAGTAGAAAGACGTTATAAAGTGGTTATACGGAAGTTCGTGGCTTATAAAGAAGTCTACTCTTGGTCCTTATCGAATGGAACCAAACGAAGCCATCAATGTCCCTCTTATGTGAACAAATACGTCTACAAATATTTTATGATGAATGTCTTCTTTAAACGATTACAGGGGATACCCAGGTTTAAGACTGTCCATGCTGAGTATCAGTATTTCTCCCACTTTCAATTTGCACACCCCTGGCATTGTATACTCTCCCCACCTATCAACACTTCAAAATAAACACAACAACAGCTACAAGATTGACTGCTTCCATCTGGAAGCACTGGCTACCTGCAAGGGGGCGTGATCACCTGTGCCCTTGGTTAGACCACACTGAACCCCCCACGTGAATGGAACTGGTTCTCTTATGCAGGTGGGAGCTCTAAAGAACACAGCTGACTCACTCCTGGTCACACAGTTAGGAAGCTAGACGGCCAGAGTGTAGGAGTTACATCTGATTCCAAAATCGAATCACCCAAGCCCTGTGTAGTTCAGTGGATGGGCTCAGTGAGAAACACAGAGGAAAAGTTTTAAAAAAAAGAAATTGAGTACACATGGAAACGCCGGTGGATGCAATGATACCCAGCTGCTATTTTCTTCCAGTTAAAACAGGGAGAAGGAAGTGAGCCCAGATCACACAAGACAGGGCATGTGTTCACAACTGTTCATTGTGGATCAAGGAGATATGGGAATTTACTGTGCGTTTCTAGTTATGCCTACAATTTCCCATTAGGTAAACAGAAGACAGTTGGAGGGTGGAGAAAGGGCTGAACCATGCAGTCTCTGATTAGGACACTATCATCTGCTTTCAAGTCAGAAGAAAATGATGGTCAAACTAGATGCACACAATTTATTACTTCCACAGAGATCTATTTACTCATACGCTGCTAGTTTAAGTTGGCAAGTTAATATGTGTACTTATACTTGGACTAAGATTCAAGGGTTGACTCCATTTTTTGGTGTTTGATTGCAAGGAGTTTGTGCCTAGCAAGGTAATGAGAAAAGCTGCCTCCTGCAGTGCCCAAAGGAGATTAAAACTATGCAACACTGGCTACAAATGGGAACCCCCTTACCCAACCTCCAGCTCCTAGCCACCATGACAGCCCAATCAGGCTCCTTTCCCAACTCTCCCAAGCTCTTTTCAGACCAGCTTAGCAGCTACCCTGCTCTCCCCCAGGAAGCCTCACTATGTGAGTAACAAACTGTTTCATTGTCTCTTGGTGTGGATGTGGTATCATCCATCTCAAGATGGGAACCAAATTTGGGGTGAGCTCTATCTCATCACTGTAGGATGACCACAACTACTGGAATCCTACAAGAATGCCAAGTATCCTTTGCAGCAGAAATAATCACAGAATATGGGCGCATCGTAACCAGAAAGTCGGCCACCCCTTGGTGGAGACAGGCTCTCCATGCTGGGGTTGCGCCGTCCCTTCCTTGGTCCAGAAAAGGGGAGAAAATCTGCAGTTAGGTAGGTCTCCATGGAGGTGGCAGAGATTATTTCTAGTGCAAATGTGAGACCCAAGTCATTTGCCAGAAGATATATTTTTGCTATTTGATTGCAAATGCCACGGGCTAGTGTATGTTCAATCATTCTCAATTTTTTGACTCGTATAATAAACATCTCTAGAAGCCACACCATATACATAAATGTCATACTCGGAACCAAGCAATAAGATGCATGAGGCCATTTTAGAAGTTTGTCACTCGTGATAAATCATTAGCAGGCAGACATTTATTGTGACGTGTTTTGGTACAGCTGAGCCAACCACCTTTACACTGGGACTCGGGGTCATTTGGCTCTGACTCTAATTTAAGACTCATCACTTTGAAAATGGTAATTAGTTTAATGAGTTGAATTAAGAAGAAGCAATAAGGCAATAAAACCCCCACGTACACTTGCAAGGAAAAATCCCCCTTTTGGCTCAAAAATCAATTTCTAAGTAAAATAATACAGGCAAGGCAGGTATCAGAGGATTGAGGCTTTGGCTTCCTTGTGTCGTCATCAGCATTTTGCAAAAGAGCACGCAAACCCCTCCATTTCAAATGAAATTCACCTTTAATGTATTTAGAAGAGACCCCTGTGAAGAAATGCGTTTAATAAAAAGGGGCTTCGACGATAATGTCTACAGGCACAAAATTCTGCACAGAAATCCTCACAGCACATTTATCTATCATCGCCCTGGAAGCAACTCGCTGTCCTTCAGGAGGTGAATGGATAAACCATGGTGCACCCAGACAATGGAGTATTATTCAGCGCTCAAAAGAAATGAGCTATCAAGCCTTGAAGAGACATGGAGGAACCTGAAATGCATATATTTAAGTGAAAAGAAGCCAGTCTGAAATGGCTGCATGCTCCAGAACTCCAGCTCTATGATGTTTTCTGGAATAGGCAAAAGCACGGAAGGAATAGAAAGACAGTGGTTATCAAGGGCTTCGAGGGAACGAGGTGTGAATAGACACAGCACAGGGGATTTTCAGGGCAGTGAAACTACTCTGTGTGATGCTGTAATGATGGCTATGCAACAGCATATACACTTGTCCAACCCCATAACCCCATAGAATGTAGGATTCAAATAGGGAACCCTAATGGAAAGCATGGACTTAGTTAATAATAGTGTGTCGGTATTGTCTCATTAATAGCAACATGTGCTGAACTGATTTCATAAATGCCTTTCAGGTGTCACATTGACCCCTAGACTTACTCATCCATTCATTCAGGGGGTGTTTAGGAAGTACCTGTTGAGCTCCGGCTGGGTGCTGAAGGCTGGGGCCCCACAGCAGATCACGGACAATGTCCCTCTGCAGATTCTCCTCGTGACTCGGTTCCTTTGTTCGAGTCACTGCGTCTCCTACTTACCATTTCCCCATTTCCCGTCCCGGCTATTTGCATCTCCATGAAAACCTGCACTGTGTTTACTACACAGATTTCTTCTACTAAAATAGATATTGCCTCCTGTCCCATCTTAACACCCCTGCCTGCATATTTCCTCCAAATTCCACCATTTCAAAGGGCCATGATGCGATATTTACTTTGTCCCCATCAATATTTCTTACGCATTGCCTAGCGTGGTGATGTTATCATTTTCACCAAAGGCACCATATACAACGAGGCTGGATTAATGCAAGACAGGTTGGCTGAGGCTATCAGGCGCGTACAAATGGTGCAATATTTGGCTTAATATATGTGGAGATTGCCAGATTTCTGATTTCCTTTTAGTTCTTTTGTTCCCAAAAGACACATTCTGTCTCCCATCCTGTTTAGGCCTTATGCAGGAATCTCATTTGTAAAGCCAAGAACCCATTAACCATTTAACTTTTCATAAGATTGATCCCACAAAGTTCTAACATATTTCTCTCTTAAAAATTCTGAACAGAAATCTCCCTTGGGAACAAATGCTGCTGTATTATTCTTGCTTTCAGAGCAATACATTGCGAGTCAGAGGTCCACAAATATTATTTTTCAGTAAGGTTCTCAAGGGATAATGATACCAATTTATATAGGATGATAGTTTTGAATTACCCATGATGGGCTGCAGAATAAGCTTATAAATGAAATGTTTTATTTCCAAAGCTTTCTCACATCATCCCCTGGATGAAACAAATACAGAAAATGAGCTATTTCGAGAGCACTTTGTTATTTAACTGAAGACAACAAGAGCAGGTTGGTGAAAAAAAAAAAAGAGAACCTCTTGACCGGAGTTTTGTACTCCTAAAGGACAAAACTTGGAAATGTAAAAATCAGGCCCCTTTTTCCTCCAGGTGAGAATGTGGGTGACACCGAATTCTGGAGGGTTCCCTCATTCCATGTGTGCATTCCCCAAACTAGGGCGAGGCCACTGTGCAGAGTCGGACCCTGTGCTAGGCTACATGGCAGACAGAGGGGTTTCCCAGCACGGGCAAATTCCAGGTCTTGCAGGAGACGCTCCATCAAAACAGAACCAAACAGTCAAGCTCTGGTCTCTGGGTCCTCACGGAAGCACACCCGGTTAGAGTCCGGGGTCCCCGGCCTACTCCTGGGGGCTCCCTCTTTGCCTCTGAGTCAGCAATGACAACCTACAACAGTAGAGGGTTGCCAGGGGGAATGAAGGAAGCAAATCACGTCCAACACACTGAGTTCAGGACCACTTACACGGAGCTCTCAATGTGCGGCAGCTCTGCCCCCGGGGTTGGAAAATCGGCTTGCCTAATTATAAAGCCTTATTATTTATCTCCCTTGGTCTGGCTTTCTCTTTTCTTACAAGGTAGGATGACCCAGGCAAAACCTTGGAGCAAAACACTGTGAAGGAACTACTTACCATTTTGGAAACATCAGGCTCATTAAGGAAAAAACATCTCTTAGGCAGCCACACAGCATGAATAATTAAGAAAAGATGTCCACTTACTCAGTGGAACTGCAGGGAAACGAAACTCTAAAAAGTTCCCCTAAAACTATTTCAGTGGGTCCTTCATTGGACCAAAGGGTTAATCATGAGGGTCAAAAAGTCCCACTGAGGCCAGGATTTTAAGATAAAGCAGACTATCTAATTGTAGCACCTAGCGCGGGCTATAACTGTCCAAAAGGCACGTA